CCTTCCCTCCTCAGATGTCCACCGTCCACCACTCGATCATACTGTTCAACTTTGCGTGGATCGCCATGGCCGAGCTGCTTCCGGTCTGTTACCTTTCCACCCCCGAAGACTTTGTCATCAGTGATTTTTTGCCCATCGGCGATCACACCCCTTACCTTCTTTTTGCCCTCGCCGTCCTCAGTTTCTACGGTCAGGTGCTGATGACGAAGGCGATTCAGCTGGAGGAGGCGGGCGTGGTGGCGGTGGTCCGGGGCAGTTCTGAGGCCGTTTTCACCTTTTTCCTCGAGGTTACGGTTTTTTCCGTCCGCCCGGACCTGTACTCTATCGTCGGCGCCCTGCTGGTCCTCTTCTCGGTGGTGCTACTGACGGTGCGCAAGTGGGTGATTAGTTTGTCGACGGGTGAAAAAGTGAAAGGTTATTAAAGGTTGGGTCGGAAGAAAACAAAAAGTACTTGCCTGGAAACAATACAATACTTTATTTGGGGGGAGGGCACGAAGCTGGTGGCTTGATTGTGCCCGTTTTGGGGGATTCAAAGACTAGTAGTAGTTAACTCTGTTGACAAGAAATGTGAATTAAATTGATTTACATACTTCGGTGAATAATAAGTAATTAGAGGTATCTATTTTTAACATAGATGTGAGGTAACCGATGGAGTGTAACCGAAATGTGAATGGATGATGTTTGGTGTTTTAGAACACATGAAGTAAGTAGGTGAACAGGTGATGTTTCCGGTTGTCCTTGGCCACAATCACAATGAAAAAGCCTGGAAACAAAGAAACTGCAAAGATATGCAGTCTGCGGAAACAATTTTGGGTGGACACAATTGGCAATTGACAATCTTTGTGATTAGAACAAACAAAACAAAACATTTGGTGATTACCACTAGTGCTCTAACTCACTTTTGCTTCTTCTTCGGTTTTGGCTTCGGTTTCGGCTTCTTCTGCTTAGGTTTAGGCTTCGGCTTCTGCTTCGGCTTCTTCTTCTGCGGATGCCTCCGCTGGACGTGCACCTCCAGGGTGCGGCGCTTCTTGCAGGCCAGCGGGCAGTGGGGGCACCGGAAGGGGCGCTCCTCGCTGTGCACCTGCAGCTGGTGCTGCCGCACGCAGGGCGCCGTCTTAAAGGCCTTGCCGCAGCTCGGGCAGAGGTGGCGCCGCGCCGCGGAGTGCACCTGCAGGAGGTGGCGCCGCCGGTCACCGGGCGTCTTGAAGGCCACCGGGCAGCGGTCGCAGGCGTAGGGCCGCTGCTCGCTATGCACCAGCCCGTGCTGCCGCAGCGTGTCCCGCGACTTGAAGGAGCGCGAACAGAGGGGGCAGTGGTGCCCCCGGGCGTCGCTGTGCGTCACCGTCAGGTGCTTCCGCAGTTGGCCGGCCCGGCGGAAGCCGTGGCCGCAAGCCGAACAGCGGTGCCGGTCGCTGCCCTCGCTGCTGTGAATCGCCTGGTGCCCTTTGAGCGCAGACGGCGTCTTGAAGGCGCTCCCGCAGACGGTGCACTGGTAGGCGCGGGCGGTGAGGTGCGTCACCTGGTGCTGCTGGAGGTTGCTCCGGTGCTTGAAGTGCTTGCCGCACTGGGCGCAGCGGTGCCGGCGGACGTCGCTGTGCACCGTCTGCTGGTGCTTGCTCAGCGAGTAGGCCGTCTTGAAGGCCTTCGGGCAGGCGGTGCAGGTGAAGGGGCGCTCCTCGCTGTGATTCGCCAGGAAGTGGCGCTGCAGCCGTGAGGGGTAGTCAAAGAGCAGAGGGCAGTCCGGACATTTGAATGGTCGCTTTTTTGCTGGTGAATGGAACGCGGTTTCCGCTTTGGCTTCTTTTCTTGTGCCATTTCTTTCCTTTGTTGTCAACGACTGCTTTTTTGTTGATTTCTTCTTCTTCTTTGCCGACTTTATCTCCTCGTAATCTAAATGAAAAAGAGGGAGAGGAANTTCTTTCCTTTGTTGTCAACGACTGCTTTTTTGTTGATTTCTTCTTCTTCTTTGCCGACTTTATCTCCTCGTAATCTAAATGAAAAAGAGGGAGAGGAAGTTTTGGTGGAAAAAATGGATTGAAAGAAGTGACACCAACTTACCACTGTCTACAGAGTCATCCCTTTCACCACCACCATCATCATCATCATCAATGTAATCGGAGTCGTCGTTTTCTTTATCCTCTTCTTCTTCCTCCTCTTCAGTTTTCTTTTCGACCTTTGAGCTCGCTTCTTTGGCAGCTTTTTTAGCCTTTTCAGCGGCTAGAGCTTCCTGCTTCATGAACAAACGAAACTCCTCGTCGTGTATGTCAATGGTGACGATAGTTCGTTTTACCGGTTTAATTGGCTCTAAACGAAGAGAGAAGTGAGCATGAGTTAGAAGTGGGCGATGAAAATGAGTGAATGGTGGTAGTCTGAAGATGAAGATGAAGATCCTCCCCTACTTACCATCAACAGGTGGGCAGGTAACAGTATCCTTCGAAAAATTTGCAGAATTGGCTTTCAGTTCTTTTTCTTTCGCCTCTGTTTTCTGGTCCATTTCACTGGCTTTCTCTTCCTCATCGTTATCTGCCGAGCTCAGTGATTTTCTTTCTTCTTCTTCTTCTTCTTCTTCTGACCCCACATCAAACTCGTCGTCGTCGTCTTCGCTGTACATCTCAAATTCAGAAGCAGACATCTTTAGCCACAGTCAGAGATCAGGTAGAAATTTTTGCAACAGAAATCAGTAATCGAAATTTGAAGATAGAAACGAAACGCTGAACAAAAAAAGGCAGCGTGAGCAACAACAAAGACGGCCATCAAATCAGAAGCGGCAGCAGTAGTGGTCTGTTAGGTCGGTGCCGCCCCCAGTCCTAGCTGAGCAGTTCACTGTCACTGACCAACTGGACAGCCCCACTAGGGGTCGTTCCCCTCTTCCATGTCTGATGCAGCAGCAGTAGCAGATGACGCAACTCCAGGGAATGGACAGTTAAGCGTCAGCTCCAGTCGTAGTAGTGGCAACACCACCCATCAGCAAAAAAATTTGTACAATCAACGTTACGTGCAACCAAAGTGATTTTAGCCGACTTGTAACTTTGGCAGTGCAAAAGCTGTGGTGGTGCGCACAGTAAACAGTGCCGCTAGAACGACTGGCGCTCACGCGCAAGTGTCCATTCCCTGCGGCAACTCTTTGTAAAGAGAGCGACCCAGTTTGGTTCTTTTATTTGAACCTTTTTCTTGTTGAAGACATGTAAAAAGTGACTTGTTTTGCTTTTGTTTTTATTTTTTAGAAAATGGAAAAATCGACTTTTGAAAACACTTGAAACAACTTCTTCTTCTT